CCCCCCCCGCCCCCAACATTGAACATGCATGCTTAAGTTTTTCAAGTGAAGCCTGAGCGTCTAGTTTAACATCATCTTTTAAAGTCCTTTCATCTTAAAGCCCTGCATTATTAATTCATTTCTTCTGGGCATCAGCAAAGCTACCTGAATAACCCGAATATGTTCATATGCTTTTTGTATTGTCTTCTCACATAAAATTAAAGTTTTACTCCTTTATTAACAGTTTCAATGATCTGGGACAGAAACAAAAAAGATCAAAAAGCATCACAATTAGAGCTAAAATCAACAGGTGTCGTGTGTCCCCCTCACTGGAATCTAATTTTTTTTACCATGTAAGTAAACTTTATCTTTGCAGGAGAGAGAACTTTTACAGGTCTGCCTGAGTACTGTGTAATGAATTCTGATGGCAACACCTATCAGAGTAGCTCAGATCGAGTTGATTCTGTTGGGAAGGAGAAGGAAGAGGGCGCAACAATAGAATAACAACTTCCGTAGCCTCTCCCACTTCTATTTCTTAAGACTATGAGAAATTGAGGGCTCTTATAAGATTTGTCATCTTCCGTTGTGATGCAAGGTACTCTTTTCCTTACTTTGCTTCCTCTAGCAACTGCCCAATATCCTTATCAGACAAGTAATTATTTTCCTAAATGCAGATGAAAAAAAAATTATACCTTGTATCTTAATATGTTCCTAGAATGCATGTGCATAAGGTAAGAAATGATACAGTAATCAGTGCAGGGTGAAAACTAGAGCAGAATACCATATAGTTTCGGTACATATTTTCAAGGCTAAGTTAAGGTGTAAATGGGGCTGCATTTTGAAGGAAATTTAAAATGAACTAAGGTAGGGTTTTTTTTGAACGGAATAAGCAATTATTAGAATGAAGCAGATGTGCCTTTAAGTATTACTAGACATCAAAACATTACCAGCCTAGTACTGACTGTGTTCCAAAAATAAAATAATATGACAGGTGGAAAATAAGTGCTATTTAAGATAATGAAACCAAGTGAGAGAATAGAAGTTATAACTAGTTATCCAGGAATACTGAGAAACAATTGGACAGTGAGGTCTCCGTAGTCATTAACATGTAAGAAAATAACAGATAGGTATATAATTAGCATCACTCCAGTTGCTTCTGGAGAAAATAGGCTGTTCCCAGTCTCTACACTTCTTTAAACGGGGTCATTATTTGGGCTGACAAAATAATTGTGGTGACACAGAGGACTTCTGTAGGACATCTGGCTCTATGTTGCTTACCATTCTGATAAATGAGAATTTCAAAGGGGAGATGAGAAAAATCAGAACAGCCCCCACATGACAAACTGTTAAACTCAGCAGGTGTTTCTAGTTAAGTATCAAAGGGATCACTGTTTGCAATCTTGTGCTGTTCTATAGCTCCATAAGCAGTTAAATGATTTGAAAGAAAATATAATTTTAGACAACTTCTGTGATACAAAAACATAGTGGAACAATAGATAATGGGAGTGAGATATCAATAATGAAAATCAACATGAATTGCCTAGAAATAGACTTAGTTGAACAACTTCCATTTTAACATGATCAAACGAAGCTTTAGTAAATTGCAGATTACTAATTGCCCAAAAGTAAAAACTCAGAAAAATTACTTAAAACAAACAAACAACAAACAAACAAATCCCATACTAGTTGCAGAGCCTAGAGCGTGGAGTTGGTGCCTTGATGTCTGCCACTATGTCTTAACATACCGTCCTTATGATTCCTCTTGTTGGCAGAGCTGCAAAGTAGTCCTTAGCTTGCTTGAAGCAAACTCAGTAAAATTAACATATGTGCAGTTTTTTCTGTGTTTTAATCTAAGATATGACTAAAGATGACTAAGGAGGGCTCAGATTAGTCTTCCATTAGCAGACATGGGAGGGTGTTGACTCCAGCTGTACATGAGCTCTCAGTGGAACATTCTTGTTGAAATAAAAGTGATATTTGAACATATATGCTGGAGCAGAATATTAAGCAAAAATGAAAAGTAGCAGTAATCGTGATTTTATATTGACAAAATTGTTTGCACAGAGCTACAACTGTCAAAACCAAACAGGTTCAGAAAAAAACCCAGAATGAATATAAGAGGCCTAAAGAACCTGTCATGAAAGGGTATTCAGTTTGTGGTTAGCAGCCTACTTCTACTGGTCTGCTTCCCTGAAAACCCTTTTGCAAAAGTGTCTAGCATATTAACTGGTTTTGGTTCAAGACACGCAAGCTATGCTATGCATGCATGCAGTAAAACCTTGGGGCGACAAGAGACCACCTCAAGTCTGGTTCAAAGCATCATTTTCCAAACTATTTCTAGAAAACAGAACGGCACTGCATTAAACTGCTCAAAACTACTCCTGGCCATCTACCCGTGCAAGCAAATAGGAATAAACCCTTATAATAAAGGTAGTCTGAAAATATGGTCCTATTTTTCATGCACAGTACAGATGATCCATACAAACACTGAATCCAACCATTTAGTGCCTCTTTAACCCAAAAGAGGAGCTATGTTGAACACTCGTTTTTTTTTTTTTTTCCATTTCCGTTATGCAGAGTATCAGATTAAATGATCAAGACGGGCCCTGCTAACCTGCAAATTTATAAAACTTCATCACTATATCTGTGAGGAACCAAGGCAGAGATAGTAAGCAATCACACAGGAAATTTGTGGTTGAACCAGAAACTGAACTCTTGATTTCCTGAAATATAGTACTGTACTTTAACCACAAAAGCATCTTCTTTGAGGGGGAGGAAAATCCCATAATGAAGTTTAACATACAAAAGAAAAGCAGATGATTCGAATATGAAGACTTGGATAAAAACCCAATTTACTGAAGAAATGTGAAACCTTACTTAAAAATTAATGTTCTGTTTTTAAAAGGGAGGTTATGCTGCAACTGAGAGATCCAGGCAAATGTTCATGGTCACACTAAAAGTACGGCTCCAGTGGCAAAGGTCCAAATTCACATATTTCTGAAGTAGCCATAAAATGGAACTGATCCCTGTGGTTATTACAGAAAGAAAGAGGCCACGATAGTTTGCCCTACTATACAAGACAGTGCAGAACAGAGAGAGGAGCAAAGAATAAGCAAAGGATCCATTTTAAACACATTTAATTTCAAGTTATTTCTGAAGATAGACAAAATGGACAAAGTATTCTGAAGATCAGAATAAATCCTGTATGACAGTTTTCTGCTATTACAAATCTCTGTATTAAGAATATTCATAAATAGCCCTCTGAAACAGTACATGTTCCCTTCAAGGACACTTAACTAGTTTTTGCAGCCATTAACTGCAATTTACACAGTAGCAAAACCAGGTAAGTTCCTGCCTCACACATGGATCCAAAAATCACTCTATTTGTAGATACTGTGCTCCTGTGGCTGTGTACCTTACATCCTATTATCTTAAATTTTAGGAAGCTGTTGAATAGCTTACAAATAAAGGACCTGCTATACAAACAGTTAAAGCTTTATTTGATATATTACCTTGTTAAAATGGAAAAAAAAAACCAAACTATGAGATTTTTCAGAAGCAAAAGAGGTATTATTTTCTCTTTGCCTCCCAATTTCAAAATTGCTTAGGATAATGTGAGTGTCACTGCACATTTTAGATATGCCATGCCTGATTTATTCCTTGCCCAAGACTTCATTTCTCTAGACATCTAGACAATTTGGGTCCAAATCTGGCACGCACACTACACAGTCATACATACATCTGACTTGCAGCCATCCATCATTACTTTTTACAGGGTTATTACAGTGCATTCAAAGGGAATAGGAAATAGCACAGGAAGGAAAAGCAATTACTATAGGTGTCTCTCAAAGTATGCAGCAGAACCAACAAGAAATATAAAATAATTTTTAAAATATATAAAACATAAAAAGTCAACACAAGTTTCATATACTACAACAGCTTAATGCCAACCTCCTCCCTCCGCCCCCATGATGCTATAGCAATTCATTCTTACTGCACAGGGAAAAAGGAGCTCTGTCATACAGCTGTAGCTCACTTCTCTTAGTCTCACTGGCTTGGCTACCCAGCAACATGGAGTAGCGCATTTCTCCACCTCTTCGACACTGTGCAACTTGACAGATTTCCACAGATGGGATAAAAATGCATTTGTATGGTAGCAAAATAAACAGCCATGGCCCTTCACGTGGGAGTGGCCACTCTTCTGCTGCTATGTACAGTCTGTGGACCTTTAATAGAGAGCACAGGACAGGGATCCAAGCATTTTCAAATCATAGCATTACTTCTTCACAGCTGTATCTAATTGCTACACTATCCCCGAGTTCTCAAGGATATAAAGGGTTCTCTGCCTGACCTTTCCCTTTAAATTTTTGTAAATAATTAGCCCACACCAGATGTAAACAGAACGCAAAACAGCTGTAGAGCTTCCTTTCTGTCTTCAAGCAACAGAATCCATTCCTTAGTTGCTCATCAAAACTCGCAACATCTCTCCGAACTTGGCACGTGAGCACACTTAGATTTCATGCCAGCAACCTTGCAGTTTTGCATTACTGCGCTCATTACTTAAGATTATTAAAGATGTACATCCAGTTATTATGAATGAAACTATGTTCTGCAATACATTAAACCCACGTTTGCTCTTAGGCTGTATTGCCTTTCAGAGAAGGCAAAATTGCTGTTTTTTCAAGCCATAGAGTTATTCTGTCCCCACCCAAACTGAAGCATAACAAATTAATCACATTAAGGTTGTCAAAACATTTCCAGAAAACATTCAGTGTTATCTTCCTTATCTACTTGCAGAGACAGAACGCTGTAAATGAAGACCCTGAATAAGGTCCAAAAAAGGATTTAAAGCTCAGGCATGTTCAATACCTTCAAAGCAAGTAATTTTTGTTTAGCCAATAGTTCACTATTTTATCAAAACCTTACCTACCTATACTTGATCTTTTTAATAGACAGCACATTCCATGCCTTTGTTTCATTTCTAGCACTTAATTCAGATGTTGCCTTTATGAATGTTTACTATGATTTAAGCAGTACTTGCAAATTCTGAGATAAATTCAAATACTGTATTTTACCTTTTTCCATCTGATATGAAGGCCTATACATATCTACGAAGCAAACGACTATAACATCATGAGACATTTCAGGACACAGTTTATGCTGTACTTTGTAGCCCAGCTGCAATCAATTATCTTTTCAGATGAGAAAAAGCAAATGCAAGAGTTGTGTTCTTCAGAGCAGCACTGCACTAGTAAGGTTTAGTGACATAGTTCCCAAGACAGCAAACTGCTTTGCATTCAAGGACAGTATTCACATGGAGTACCTAAGTATGAGTTGCTCCTTTACTTTTATTGCTTCCTTTTCAAGAAATAGAAATATACTTTTCCCATTCAAAACTATTAGGTACCACCCACCCCCCTTCCCGTTTCCTATTTATGGGTTAAAACTGAACTACAAGCCTTGCAGTAATCCAGGTGAGGACAAACATTTTGCAGATTTAGAGAAGAGCAGTAAATCCTTATTTTCTGGGTATTTCACATTAACCATTCAGGACAGGAGCAGAGGTGATATAATTTTAGTTATCCATTTCCCTGTAAGAAAGGAGAAATTGCTCCAGCCTGAGTACCTGTTGCAGCTACCTGAATTAACCGGACCCCTGCTAGAGTGGCATTATAGCATTTAAAACAGCCATTTAAAATATTACCAGCAACAGGTGGTAAAACTAGTAGAAACACTTAAAAGTATTTCTTAAGTGACATAATATTTAGACCATCCCTCAGCCTCCCAGAAAACAGAAATTATGAAATGCAGAATGTGTTAGAAAGCGATGGAGAGCTACTGCACGTCAGTTTTACTTATTAACACTTCCTGGAAGTGAGGATACATGACAAAGCTTAGAAATAGACATCTGTACTATACTTTTTCCCTGCTGTAATAGCTTTCCACAAATGCCGCATCTAACAATGCAGATGTCTGTTCCATGTGCTCTGGTTTAAGTAACTGAAAATGATACTTTGATCAGTTACCATGCATACAAAAGAAAACCCTATACACATGCTGAAGACAGGCCACAAACTAGAACAAGACATTAACAGCACTTTTAATGTATCAATTTATTGCATATGTCAGTACATAAAAATAGAAAAGTGTTTTTTGTAAAATTAATTTTATTGTAAAAACCAGACTAGAATGAGAATGTAAAACGTTGCCACAATTAGCACATATACAGTAACATCTATGCTTTGTCTACAAAACTTAAGAATACTTTATAAGACATTTTTTGCTTTAACTATATATTAAAGAAAAATAAAAGCTTGCATCATATATTCAATGACTGTTTCTGAATTCAAAACACAAGTGTTATTTAGAACTTTGATATGCTATCTCTATTTACACTTCTGTGGGGTTCTACTCTGAATTATATAAGCAGGATGGCATTGTAAATTATTCTTAATGGGATACATCAGGCTGACCCCACTACATGCAAGAGGCACTGATTTTATATTTGGCAGAAGTGCCCCTAGCAAAATCACCTGTCATTAACAAAAATAAAAATGTACTTCTCAAGAATTGATTTATGAAATACAAATGGAGGTATGTCTAAATCTTCTTGCTAACAGAAGATACCATACCTTGGACTCTCAATTCAGCCTTTCATTCTTCACCATGAACATCCAATGTGACGCAGATTAGCTTAGAGATGCTGATGTGCATATTTTGTATAAATAGTTAATCCACCTGCCCTTCAACTGAGAGATTGTCCGTAGCCTACCAAATGTATTTGTGCTCTATTTCTAATTTTACCTGAGAAATGGACATGAGGGCAGCTACACTAGTTACATTTCTTCGTATGAAAGCATAGCTTATCTCTCTGCATTTCACAGTTCAGAAACAAATATTGGGAATGTAAACTTGGGTTAGCAGGAAGCTTCAAGTATTTCCACTAATTAAAACCACACACACATGTGCACACACAATGTCTCATACTAGATGCTTCCTTACAAGGACTCTACTGCTACAGCTGTTCCAGTTCAATTCCTGACTGCCTGCCCCATTCTTTTTTTTTTTTTTTTTTTTCTCTTCCTCTTTCTTTCTCTCGCTCTTTCTCCCTTTCTCTCTTCCTCCCAGTTAGAAAGCATTTTGCAGTCTGCATGGCCTTGTTCACCCATCATTCAGTTAAATAACCACTAGCTAGATATATCTTGCTTAACCACAACAACTGGCCTGGTACCAGATGAGCCTGATATTTATTTAACAAACAGCACTGTCTTCATAGATCTAAATTAGAGCCTTATTTGAAATACTTAAATTGTACCCATTACTGTTTGCCCTCAGTGAAAATCCAAGTTCTGGTTACGTCCCTGCTCACTAGGATTAGAACTGTCACAATATTTATTTAACAGGAGGAGGCATGCTAAGCCATGCTGCAAACATTGCTGTGCCAATACGAAGAGGAACTTACTGCTTTTTACAGTGGGTCTTTCTCCGTGCGTGCTCGCCCTCCATCCCCTTTTTTTCCTCGTCCTGCCACTGCTG